TATTTTGATTCTTTTTGATTTGGAATAATTATTTTGACATTTAAATGAGCCTCTGTCTGAATGTGCCCAAATTTTCATTTCTATCTTTTTAAACTTTCCTGCTCCTGAGAATTTTCAGGCTTATAAAACTCAGATAATTAATAATCTCCATCACTGCATCCCAGATAGACATGGGAGTTGCCAGAAAGGAAGCAGAAACAAGTTTAAATAGAATAACGCTGAGCAGTGAGATAACATGTTATACCTGAAAGCCTTCGCAGACATTAACTAATCGATTTTCCAACACATTGGAGAAGTACGAAATGGGTTTGTATTATATTTTAATGGCTGAGAAAGTGAGATATGCTTTTAATCTCTTAACTCTTCCTGATAAGTGGACATTCACAGCTTTCTTTGTTTAAAATCATAAAGACATTTTTTTGAAGCCAGGTTTACATGATAGATTTCTGTCTTTTTAAGAGGAATCTTTTAAGAGACTCATCCCTTGACCTTCCGTTTTTCTCAGAAGGAGGCAGCTGAGTCAACTTCAAAGCTTATAGATTTCATTTTCACAAAGCCAACACACTGGGCAGTTTCCAGAAGCAGTAAGCTCCTTTTGCTCCTTCACCATCCTTGGAGAAACAAGAAAATAGAACAGATGCCAACTCAGAACACAAAGTAACATCTAATTCCCCCTGAAGGATGGTCTGGTGGTGGGTAGAGTTAGTTTGTCCCATGTGTTTGAGGGCCTGAGGAGACAAAAGGCCAGATTGCTTACATGAATTGCTTATGTTCACCCAGTTAGGAAAGGAATCTAGTGATAGGTGATCCCTTTCCCAATATTTTTTGGTTCTTAACCTTTTTTCCTTCAAGACATATGTTTATTTTGCCCAGAGGTCTAGCTCTAATACCTTTCTCTTCTAGTCAAGAAAATATAGTGAGTAAATATTTTTAATTTTGTTACTACTTAAATTTTTTGAAGAAATGAAATATTTACTTCATTACTTTATTAGTAATAACAAATGATTTGCAACATATCTCACAACTAATTATGACCAAATGGTATATTCATAGTTATAACTTTACATAAGATTTTTTTTAATTAATTGTTTTCAAAATAGTAAGTGGACATTGTTATATTTTTCAGTATATTTGATATCTTCAACAAAAACAAACAAACCCAACAGTCTTCCTCTCACTTGCTTACATCAGGTATAGTTCTCTTTATTTTTTTCACTGTTGATTTTCTTTAAATCATTTTTGTCTATTGTGAGCCAAACCCTTTCTGAATCCTAGAGAAGCGGCAAGAGGTGAGCTACCCTTACGTCAAATAGCCTACAGTCAAGCACAAGTGATTGTTTTGAGGAAATAACTTGTACTGGGAAAATCACATAACCTCTCCAAAGTTCAGTTTCCTCATTTAAATAGTGGATTAATAATACCTGCTTAACAGGTATCATTATGAGAACTTAGAAATAATTCACATGATAGCATTTAATACTGGTGCAAGGTAGGCACTAAGAGACTATTCAGTTTACTTCTGGAGAACCATGCAAGACACTGTCATTAGATTATTAAGTTATAATATGAAGACTATTTAAAAAATATGAATTGAGAGACAGAAGCGAGAACTGAGAGCTAGAATTTATTAGGAAAGGATCTGTGGAGGATATGAGGTTTAAAGAGGCTCAGAGCTGAAATGATGAAGCTGTAGGTATTATCAGGGTAAGGAATGGATAGGCTCTGATTTGGAGAAAGAGTTTGGACTCCCCTACTTAAGCCTCATCAGCTTTTTATCCCAACATCGTATCTGCATTGATTCCCAAGTGATTTCACAGAAAATAATTCTGTACCCTGTGGTAAAACCCTGAGCTAATCCTTGTTAGCATTACTGCTATTTTCATGGCAACCATCAGATGATATATAATCTTAGTGAGGCAAGATGTGAGAAGTATTTTCATCAACAAATGCCCAAATTTACTGGTGGAATGTCCCATGGGAGATAACCTTATCACTTAGCTGCTGTCCCCCAAATCTAAACCCTGCTTTTATACATTTCTGTGTTTGAACATTTAGTAGGAGATATTTTTAAGAAAAAAAAAAAATATTGCCATGGATTTTTCTCCTGTAAGGGAATATCATTATGCTTGAATCCTGTTTGAATAGTTTTTGGAAAATGGATATAAGTGATAAGATAAATCTGAGAGGTGGGAAAGGCTTTATATTTCATTTATAAATATTTTTGTAACTATTGATAAAATTTGTCACTACTGGTAATTAGGTATGAAGGTAAAATTGACTTGATCATTTTTTGTTGATTTTACTGAAAGATTTAAAACTAAAATTCTTAATATTTAAATATAAAAATTTCCTGCTGAAAACTGAACTCACTGTAATATGGGGGATTTTATAGAGTTTATTTTGTTTTCTGTGACATTTAAGGAATATGTTATAGAGGATTTATAAATGGACTTGGATGTGGGTAGAAGGAGAAAAAGGAGAAATCTGGGATAATTCCTTTGTGTGGGGCTAAAACTCCTAAGAAGAGTTGCCATTTCCTAAAGAAAGGAAGAGGCAGGAGAAACATGTTTGGGTGGAGGTCCCAGAACCAAGAGTTAAGCTTTTGTACATGTTGAGATGCACATCAGCTATCCACCTGAACTTGTTGAGTAGGTAGTTGGAGGAGCCAGAAGTCAGAGCTGGAAATAAATTACAAAAGCAGTCTGAAAGCATTCAGGAAGAAGTGCCCACTGGAGACCTGGTTGTTGCTGGTAAACATAACCAAGGTAGTTATGAGGAGTCTTTTCCCATAGGTGTGGTTTTGGAGTGGCATTTTCATTGGCTTTTGGATCAGACCTATATTTGAATACTAGCTCTATCATTTACTAATTAAGTGACCTCAACCATGTGAGTTAATCTCATTTAGCTTCACTTTCTTCACCTATAAAACAGATTAACAGGACATATCCCATAGCATTGTAGAGATAAAATGAAATAACGTATGTTTCTTAGAGCAGTGGTTGGACGTGGTAAGTTGCTTTAAAAACATTCATTATCTTCTTTTTCTTCAGATTTAGTTTGTTGCATTCAGTCCAAACTAACAAAACATGTGCTTCTCTTCCAAAATAAGATAAACCTAAAGTCTACTCTCACATATACTTTTGGAGGTGCCTACTTAATGATAAGCTCCAAAAAGGATTTGATTCAAATCTATTTCCTATCAATCAATAATGACCTCATAAAGGACTTTTGTGCAGATCCCCTGCAACTTGGCCTCAGTTAGGGCTGTCATTCTCTCCATCAATCTCTGTGCCAAATTTTCTTGGCTCTTTAAAATCAACCTGCCTTCCTTTACATTTAATCTTTTGGGCTTTCTCTGCCAATGACTTGAACATCAGATCTTCAATTCAGTTGATCTTTGAGGTTATTAGAGCTATGATAGTGATGGAGACAGCAAAGCAGCAGAACAGTTAGCACATACAGTACTTAACTGTGCACCAGACGCTCTTCTCAGTACTTTATATAGATTAGTTTATTTCACCCTCACAGCAGGCTTTTGAGGTAGCTATCACTTTATCTTCATTTTACAAGTGAGGAAACTAAGGCACAAAGAGTTGTGTAGTTTTGCCTGAGGTTACACAATGCAGTAACTGGGAGAGAAGAAAGACTGTGCTCTTTTCAGAGGCTGAGTTTGGAAGACAGTTTTCCCACAAGAATGGAGTCTTTTTCATCTCTGTATCCTTAATTAAAAGTATAGAAAGCAAATGTTCCATCCATGTTGGAGTTAGTGCAAAGTGCCAGCACATCAAATGAACACAGAGGATTGTGTCATTTTGTTTTATTTTGTTTTGTTTTAAAAAAAAGGAGTGGGGAGACCAAGTGAATCAAAAGCTCTGATTGTGAATACAGTATATTGGCAACATCTGGGGCCTGTTTTATTTTATGAGTCCTCATAGGACATTTAAAAATAACAATTAAAAAACCTATTCTGACTTCTGAAATATTTTTTATTTAACTAGCAGTAGGGATCTGACATTGAATAATGATCCTACTCCAGAAACAAAAGCAAATTAACATTTGTCCTTTTTTTTTCAATTAAAAGTCTGTGCTGCCAGGTTTGCTGGTCTTTGATACTGAAGGATTACTGTTTGTGATGTGATTAAAAGATGATAATAAAACTAGTGTTGTGCTCTAATTTTAAAGTTAGCTCAGATAAAATTAGACATGACCCCTAAGGGTAGTTTTTCACAGATCCATATAAACAGGCATTCCCTTCCATGAATAATAAACATTGTTAATGACATTGGACTTTCCTCATTCCAGGGGATGAGTTTTTAGCATATCTGAAAGTCATTCACTATGTGGCTGTTTGTCTAAAAGAAGAAAAATAGTATTAAAGTGGGAGGAAACTGAAAATGGGAGTCAAGCACCAACCAGCTGTGTGATCTTAGACAGGACCTTACTTTCACTCATTCAAATGATATTATAGGCCTATACAAGGTCATGCTTGGGTTCCCACTGGTGTGCACAGTTGTGTATCAGTTTAGCACACATGTTGGGTCATAGATTCTTTTATTCTGGTTTGTTTGTCTGTGGTGCTCACCATACCCCACTAGCAGTTTTCTCACCCTGGCCTCCTAGTTTTAGGGGCCCTTCTTCCCCAGGCCCATCCAACTATCTCTGCTTAAGGAAATCTTTCCTACCAAGATTCAACCCAAACCCCATCTTCCATCGAAGTCTTCAATAATCACACCAGCTTCTCTTAGCTGCTTTCACCAATTTTCAGTTCAAGGTCAACCATACACTGCAGCCCAAGATTAACTGCATGTGCTGAAACCCTAATATATTTGTGACTCCATGCGACTCAGTCTGTCCAAGACATTAAGTACAATTTAACTTTCAACCTAGATTTCTCCCTGACAATATGTGTTGACTCTTTTCTTTCTTCCACTTTACTTTCAATATGTTTTGCTCTTCTGTAAGTCTTTGTTCTGATTTTTTTTAAAAATCTTTTTCTCCAGGTCCAACTTTCTCTGTTCCTCTCCATTGCCCCTTGTCTGTGTGGACTCACTGCCAGAAATGAAACTGACAAAAGCAAAGTATCTGTAGAGGGAAGAGGAATGAAGCTGGGAGAGGATCTAAGCAAGCAAAATGTAACATCTCTTGAGGATGCTACAGAAGGAAGAGATGTGAACACTTTGACATGAATAAATATTGTACTTCCACCATGCTGAGATCATTGGGAGAAGCTCCGAATTGGGTGAGAAACAGTCATTCACTTCCTCTAAGAAGTTACACAAAGTCTTAGCTTTGAAATATTCCAAAGCATTTTATTGTTAGGGCCCAACAGTGTGTTTTCAGGTTGGAAAAAAATCTAGTTCCACCTGTCCTCTAAAAACAGTGGTAACTAAAAAAGAAAAAAACAAAAACCAAAAAAGAGTGGTAACTGAGATGTCCTTCGGGGTCACTGAATGGTGAGATCTTAGCTATTTGGTTGTTTAGTCCCAATGCTGGGATACTGACACTATCAAATGGAGGGAGTTTTGTGTTTTGCAAACTGTATGGGGGGAGGGGGGGTGATTCAGAGCAATAGTTAAAGAAGAAGACATTCTGTCTCAGGAGCAAAAGGAAAAAAAGTGGTCCAGCCTGTGCATAGGCTGCCGTCTTTATTTTCGTATGTGCACACACACACACACACACGCACACACACGACAGGCCACCAGCACTCCATGGCCTACCTTCAGCCCTAGTGCAGATGTTCCCACAGGGGCTGCCCCGAGGCAGTAAGGAGGTAGCCCCAAGATTCCTCAGCTTTGGAAACAGACTCACATACTTTATTCATGGCAGGACAGGCTCTCGTTGGCTGCCTGGGGCTTCTTTTTCTTCTTCCTCCTCCCCCAGGTGAGGCAGCGAGCACCTCTCAGGAAGCCTCTCAGAGATGGTAAAAATCCATGCCTCTGAGTGGAAAGAGCTCTGCAGTCTTGTGATTTAGGTTTAAATTCACTGACTAGCTGTGTGATCTTAGGCAAGTCATTAAACCTCTTTGAATCTCAGTCTCCTCACCTCTAAAAGGGGCAGAAAAAATTATTTGCCAGTTGTTGACATGTGCAGTTCTTGGCATCTGGTAGGTACTAAAAGTGCTGTGCTAAGTCACGTCAGTCATGTCCAACTCTACAACTCTATGGACTGTAGCCCACGAGACTCCTCTGCCCATAGGATTTCCCAGGCAAGAATACTGGAGTGGGTTGCCATGCCCTCCTCCAGGGGATTTTCCCAACCCAGGGATTGAACTCCCGTCTCATGCTTCTCCTGCATTGCAAGGCAGGTTTTTACCAATAGCATTAGCCCGTACCTAGTAGCTATTACTGTATCCAGGTGATGAAGTGAGGGGAGTCTAGCCATTCTCCTCACTCTGCTTTTCCAGATGGGGTCCCCAAACAAACAGCGGTAACTGTTAGCACATTAGGAAGACAGATCTGCTGAGTCACACTTGGTACTAAACCAGATCCCCAGGTTCACTCCTCTGCACATTAGCCTGTGGGAGAGCTACAGCCGTGGCTGGTCCAGCTGTGCTTGGTCTTGTGGGGCCCCCACAGGCCTGTACCTCAACTTGAACACAGCCTCCTCTTTAGCCCCCTCCAGAGTCCAGCCACATGGCACACTGCATGAACTACGGGCTTCATATTGAATCTTCATGAGTCCGCCCATTTTACCTCCAAACAGTCCTAGCAAGGAATGCTGCTCTCTCCCATTTTCAAATGGGAAACCCAACTCTATGAGATGAAAATATCTTCTCTGTCATCACCCAACTCATCTGTCACAGAGGCAGGGTTGAAACCCAGGGTCATTTGAATCCAGGAGCATAACTGACAAAAAGCCTCTCCCTGACTAGACTCTTGCTAGGCTCCTCTAAGCACTCTTGCTGACTGGGCCTCAACCTCAGCCTACAAAAACTACAGACTCTCAATATGAATGATGTGGCCCACCCCCACCACATCCGAAGACCTGAACCGACACTAACACAGTTTCTAGCAGCTCAAGGCCACATCCCTAGGATGGCTGGAGCCTGGCGAATGTGCCTGCCTGAGGAAACTCAAGGCTGCCAGAAGTTACTGCCAGTTTATTCCAGCCAGTGCTTCAAGATAGGACCCTGCCTTCCTGTCTCCACGGGAGGCTAGGAGCCTAGCTTCTTTAAGTGCCAGTTGGCAAAGCCAGATAAATTTCATGTGGACTGGTGCCCTCCACCTTCCCACTTTCTGTTGATTTGGCAGGAATTTCCCTGTGTAAACCCCGCCATTGCCCCTCCCTACTCTTTCATTCTCCCCCTAAGATGCCCCCTGTACAAATGGAAGCTGAGGTCAGTTCATGCTGGGCCCTCATTCTTACTACAGTAGAGTATAACTGGTTAATATTTGTCCTTAACACTTTAGTGTCTGTGTTTTTCTGTGACCGCTCTTTACCACTAGGTTATCTATCTAGTACTGATAAAAATTCCCTGAAATCATTTCTCTATTCAGCCATCTTGATTAAAAGAACTCTGCTCCCAGAGTATTTGTCCAATAGATGGTCACAGGTTTGGACCCCAGGTTGCTGGAGCCTGGGACTCTCCCGTCTTTCTGCTGTGATGCTTACATGCATTAGCAAGTTCAATGGTGGGGAGAGAGCCATAGCCTCGTGGCACCATGGAGGGCAGTATAAATACCAATCCAGAGATCCCAGAGATGCTCAACCAAAGCTTCAGCTCTGGGCTTGCCCTCCAGTTTCCCTGTGACTATGGAGAGGCCTGCGGCAGCACAGCCCTGGCCTCCCCAAGGCATCCTTGGGGAACTCAGAAGCCCCGGGTAGTAACAGGAGCCCCCTATTAGAAGAACACTGGGGACTCTGGAATCTGAATGCTGGCAGAGAATGCAGGAGCCTATTCTTTCAACATCACTTCTAGTGACATTCTCCTAAAGGGGCCCCAACCAGAGGAGTTCTCTGGAATCCAGTCTCTTTCTTACAGCCTTTCTAGGACTGTTCTGGAATTATCTGATAGTATATGAAATCAAGGCTGGGAGGAACACAGGCAGCCGTGGATGCCAGGACCACACGTAACTGCAGGGAGCATGAGGTGGGGGAGAATGGGAAGAGAGGGCTAGAGTTGGCATTCTAGATGGGACCCTGAGCCCTGCAACTGTCACGGGAACACTGGGGAGCGCTCAGTCCAATGGGAATCTAGCCCCTGAAGCCAAGAGTTGAGCAGAGGAATTGTGTGTTCAATTGCTTTGAGACAGAAAGTTGATGTGAGAAAAAATCATTAGTATGTTATGATGACATTTTGTTCCCATACCCAAGACAGGCTAATAAGAAGGCAGACCCAGCCACATAGGGATGGTGGCAAGAGATTAAGTGTGCCCCAAATAAAGCTGGTCAGGCACCCTCATCACCCGCCAAGCTTGTTCATGCCCAAGCATGCATCTACAACCACACACGGACTCCTACTCCAGAGAAGCACAATGCTGTCACAGCACCACATTAGTTAGCACATCTGGCCAACCAGAAATGTCAACTGTTTGCTGAAGGTAGGGAAAAAAAGAGAGATAAAGACCAGGTTAAATTTCCTTTATTCTTCAATTTTTTGCTCATAACTTGTTAAGACCCCTGCCCCTCATCCCCCACCTTTCTTTTTTTTTTTTTTTAACTTTGTGGGTGGTTTTTTTGCAGCCCTCTGCAGCATTAGGGAACTTTGAACCAGCTCTAATCCTCCTTCATTCCTTCTTTATCCTGGTGAACTTTGGAGAGCAGAAGCAGCTTTTAAAAACTCAAAGTGTCACTCTAAGACCTAAACTTACTGTTTTGTCACGTTTAGAATCAACACCAAACGCCCTACCAAAGGCCCCAAGGTCTCACATGGCCTAGCACCTTCTACCTTTTGGTATTCTACACCCAGACACACTGGGCTGCCCTGCAGGGCCTCTGCATCTGCTATTCCTTCTTCTGAAGCACCCTTGCCCATTCTTATCATGCAGGTCTTGCTCAAATGCCTCTTCTGGAACGAGTTTTCCCTTCCTGAGCCCCCAGCTCCCACCCCCTAGCAGTGCCTATTAGAGCACCCACATCACCCACCACAATCTCAGATACTCACCGCCATCCCCTACTTGGGAGAACACCCACCTGGTGCAGTTACAACCACACGCCTTCAGGGTACCAGGGAGCCAAGGGGCCAAGGGCCCCCTGGTATCAGCAACTGGACCAGTTTGTTTTCCTGCACATTCCCCAAGGCCTAGACCAGTGCCCAACCAAGAGGAAGGGTACAGTTGACAGCGGTGAGTGGAACTATTTCACAGGATGGGAGATCCTGGATGAGGGGCTGCTGGAGGCCACATCTCTGTGACTCACATCCTTTAAGCATGCTCACTGTCCCACCCAGGGCTTCCCCTTTCCCAACAGAACCTGAGGGAGACGTGGGGTCGCCCCATAGCTTCTATTTTCATCCCTGCAGCTGCACTAGTTAACAAGCAAGGTTAAATTAACTTCAGAGGCCATGAGAGAAATCTGAGGGTCACATGATACACATGCCAGAGCACTTCCTTTTTCAAACCCCTCCTTACTAAGACTCAAAGCAAGAATTCAGGTTGCTAGAACCCTGCCACAGTTTTCAAAAGGTTGTTTGCCAGTGTGGCTGGTGTTGTGATAGCAATTCATTGTGGGGGAGGAGTTGAATTTAACTATCTTTGTGAGCAACAAGCAGTAGAGGAGGGCCTGCCTCTCTAGACCACTGAGGCAAGGACATCTGAGGAGCATTTTCACAACCCCCCATGGCTCCCCGGTACCCTGAAGGCATGTGGTTGTAACTGCAGCAGGTGGGTGTTCTCTCTGGTAAAGCAGTTCCTTGAGGGGGCCAGGTCTGTAAGGCAGCAGACAGTGAAGGGTGATGCCTGCCCATGTGGTCCGACCTGAAACAGGCAGCTGTTGGCCACATCATCCCAGATCACGAGATTAGCAGACCAGGCCCTAAGAGCCAGTGGCTTATCTCCACCCACTGCCTGGGCTCATGGGCACCCATCCCTTGAATTCAGACCTCAAGTGAGCAAGCATGTCCACCTTTCTGTGGGAAAAGTACTGCTCTCTGGATTGTAATGACATACTGCCCACCACCTCCTCTCCCCACAAATATTCTGACTACAGAGCAGATGGAGGATGGCCCTCACACACCAGAACGCCATGGTCTTTTGCTGACCTTTAGATGAGTAGCAGTGAGGTGGCTGATTTGGGACCTACTATGGGTCACTGTGTCTTTGCCCTCCATGCGTCAGGTAGGCTGATGCACTGGGCAGGATCTTGTGTAAACTTAAATATGACATTACTGAATTACTGACATAACTGACATTACTGAAACAGGGGTTGAAGTGACAGCCTTCATTCTCCATTCTTTTTATATGATATAGAGCGTTCATGATGTCTCTGAAGTATGCATTCTTATTCTTTCATGTTTCCAAAGTTTCTTTCTAAATTAACATTTCAGTGTTCTGTGTTTTGGATATTCAAAGAAAGAAAATCAGATGGCAGTGGCTTCATGATTTGGGTTTCATTCCTTTTGCCCAGGAGTTCTCCCACCCCAGGTTTGTAGGCGGCAGTCATCAGCTGGGAGAAGGGGTGGGGAGGGACAGAGCAGAAGGCCCTGTATTGGGAGCAACCACAGGCCCAGCACCCCAGCAGGACTCCTAATATTCATGCAGATGCCCACAGCCTTTGCAAACCACAGCCAGAGAGAAGGGGCCCGGCTGCCCATCCAGCTCCATCCTGGCCTAAAGACCAGCTCTTCAGGCTCTGTGCCAAAACCCACTCAGCTCTTGGTTACTGCCCTTCCTCCTTGCCTGAAACAGGCAACTCCAGGCTTCTTACAGAAGTGTATTCTGTGGGGACCCACCAAGGCTGAGTTCACAAGGGTCCCAGGACAGAGCTGCCAGGCAGGGTGCATGGAGCACACATATCAGGCCTTTGAAAGCACATCAGGAAATTTGGGCACGACAAGCCTGGTGGGGACGATCTGGCTCCGGCAGGTCTAACTGCGGCGCTTCAGCTCCATCTTGGCCACTGCTGCTCGGTGCACCTCATCAGGGCCATCAGCAAAGCGCAGGGCTCGGGCTCCAGTGAAGAACTGAGCCAGTGGGTGGTCACTGCTCAGCCCTGCTGCTCCGAAGGCCTGGCAGACACAGGGCAGGAGGGGAGGAAGCCCTGAGTGAGCCCTCATCTCTGAGAGCCCCAGGAACAAGTGCCTGCTTCTAAGATGTCAGGATAGCTCAGAACAGCCACCTTTCAGGGATGTTCCCTGACACCTGTGTGACAACAGTGTTCTGGAAGAGTCCAGATGGGGCCTCACTAGCCATCCCAGGGACACCAGACTCCCCAGTCTGCTCTGCTAGGTGACTTCTGCTGTCGGGAAGTCCCTCTCTAGGGACCATGGATTGAGATTTGGGAAGGAGGCATCTCTATGTGGTTAGGAGGCTGGGCCTGGTGTAAGAGGAACCTAGGTTCCCCAAACTCTGAACTCAGCTCCTTGCAAGCTGAGTGACCTTGGACAAATCACTTTCCTGTGCTTCTGTTTCCATGTATTCAAAATGGAAGCAGGAATAGGACCCCTCATAGGGTTGTTCTGAGGAGGAAAAGGACAGTCATGTATGGGGGGTGTGCAACAAAGGGCAGCTATTAGTTTATAGGAGGTTGGGCAGCTGAAGGAGATGAATTCTGAATCTTGTGAATGATTCAGAAGAACCAGCGATCCATCATCTGCACTCACCTGAATAGCACGATCAATCACTCGGGAAGCCATGGATGGGGCCACCATTTTAATCATGGCAATATCCAGTGCTGCAGCCTGCAAGGAAGAGGAGCTGTGGTGAGGAGGGCAGACCCCAGGGCGGAACGTGTGGAAGATCGATCAGTTTCACAGGGAGGAGTAGAAACAATAGCTCAGAACAGAGACCTCAGGTCCCTCCCTCTGGACCACAAGCCTTGCCTGGTGCATGGACCCTGCCCAGCACCAATGGGGTGGAGGGGTGGGGCGGGGGAGGGGGTGACGAGGCAGGTGACTCGGGGTGCTGCATGGTGTGGTCAGTTGCCTGGTCAAGGAAAGACAAGGAGTATCTTCCCAGGCGACGGGCAGCATCACTGCACACACAGTGCAGCGTGGGGACTGGCCTGAACCTCCTTCAGGGTCATGATAGCTCTGTATTCAAAGGGAAAGGTGGAACGAGGCCAGCCAGGACTCTAGGAGATTGAAGTACAAGCATCTTCCCTGAGTTCGGGATTTTAATCAAAGCCCCTGAGAGCTCTCATACCTGGCACTAGATGACCAAGATACCAGGAACTTGAGCCTGGGTCACCCCCTGCTACCGAGGCCTCTCAGCTAAGGGTTGGAGACCCGGTAGAGAGATCAAGAAGGCAGGGATTGGCATGGCATCATGCCTGGTGTTAGGAGGCACTCAGAAAGAGCCATTTAAGGAATAACGTCACATTGAAAATAAAGCTTCTCCTCTGGTTAACTCCTGGCTTATTCTCAAGTTTGCCTGATGCCTGGAAGACCAGGTAGGTCTGTAGCTCAGGTAGGGGCCATATGGCCCTGTCAGGCCTGCTGACAGATGGTCACTGGATCAGTAAAACAGAAAGGTCAGTCCTCTTTATTGTACCTTTTCCATTTTTGAAAAGCTGCCCACGTAGTTCCAAGGAGAATTGAAGCAGTTATTTATGTCAAGGAGCCAAGTGCTTTCTCTGTGGTTTGCTGAGTGGGGAGGGAAGAATCAGCATCAAGATTTCTGGGCTGGCATCCCTCACCGTGTCCTCTGGACCTGTCCTCTGTGAGGTCCCTCGGCCTCCTACCTTATTTCCTGCCACATCCATGACATGGGCAGCTTTCAGCACCAGCAGCCGGGCCTGCTCGATCTCCACGCGGGAAAGGGCAATGTCTGCCAGGACCGTGCCCTGCTCTACCAGGGGCTTCCCAAAGGCCACGCGGGACTTCACCTGTGGACACAGGAGACAGGATGGGAGGCATGGATGGTGCCCTGCAGAGGAGAGGGTGGGAGCACAGGAGAGGGCGGCAGGGGAAGCTAGACGTGGTAGCTACACAAATTATCTGCACAAGCCCTTTACACCAGCCATTCTGCCCCATCTGGGCAGACCTGGCCTCCAGGCAGGACAGAGCTTGATCTGAGCCGCTTCTGGTCCAGGGCTGCTCTGGGAACCAGGCAGTGACTGTGGGCGCCTCACACAGGCCAGGAGGGCGCCCTCTATTGACAGCAGGGCCTGCTTCACGTCCTGAGGAACTCTCAGGGGCAAAGTCTGGGTGCCAGAGCCCTCTTGTGGGCAACTGTTATTGCAATGGGGATTCTAGAGTCTTTGAAAACTACAATCAATCAGAAGGACTTAAGGGGTCTTTTTTCTGCCCCCCTCTTTAACTAAAAACATAATGACACCAATCGTATTACTAACGGCAGAAAAGTATATATTTTCAGGCCAAGAAGAAAAGAAAAACCACAACACACACACATGGTATTCCATCATCTAGTCACACTTTAAATTTTGGATACTTCTCTGTATGCATAAGCATGCATATGCATTTCTTTTATAAAAAAATGGAAGCATATCCTTTATAATGGTTTTGTAGCCTGCTTTTTTTTCATTAAGGGTTATCTCTTTATATATATTAAGAAACAGATTTCTACAACATTGCTTTGGAATTTCACTGCATGCCCATAACCAGGGTTATCTGACCAAGCTCTACTTGTTAGCCTCATAGGTTGTTTCAAAGTATTATAATCATGGCTGTGGTGAACCTCCTAGTATCAAATCTAACTACTCCTTATGATCAGGTCCTATGAGTGGGATGGCCACATCAATACTTGGCACCTTCTAAGACTTCTGGCATGTACACTCAAGCTGCTCTGCAGGATGAGACTAGATATTACACCTGAGCCCTTAAAGGGAGCATTTTCTTTAACCAAAAAAAAACAAAAAAACCCACAAAACAAAGAAATTGGACAGTCTCAAAAAAAAAGTGTGTGAATCTCAGATTTGCTCAGTGATCTATGTGCACATGACCATCTCTGCTCGTTGGACAGTATCTTGTGAGATATTTGGGGGGCTCAAAGGTTCCTTAAGTTTTGTTTGCAAAATTGGTATCACTGATCTGAATTACCATTGCCAGCAAGAGCTTTCATTTATGTGGACTTGCAACCTTCGAGGGGTCACAGAAGAAGAAAGCTTGGGGTGTGCTGGGGGAGGAGGATGGTGCAGGGCTGGACAGAGACAGGTGCAAAGGGAAGCACTCACTCGGGCCTTCATGAGCGCCAGCGCCCTCTCCGAGCAGCCAATCAGCCGCATGCAGTGATGGATCCTGCCGGGGCCCAGTCGGCCCTGGGCGATCTCAAAGCCCCGGCCGGGGCCCAGGATGATGTTCTCTTTGGGCACGCGCACCTGCTCGAACAGGACTTCACCATGGCCACCTGAAAGACACAAAGGGTACTCCAAGTGATCTGCCTACACATTTTCCTTGGATGTGTTTATCTCATCTGCTGGCAATATTCCTGCCCTTTTGTAGCCGTCTAACAGGAACGTGGTTGAACAGTGAGGGAGAACAAAATGGAGCCTATTAAAAATAGAAAATAAGTCACTAATTTACAAGATAACAAATTAATAGTTTGGCATTCCTTTTCTAAAACATGACTCTAGGGATTTCCTGGTGGTCTAGTGGTTAAGAATCCATCTGCCATAGGGACATGGGTTCAACCCCTGATCTGGGAAGATCCCAAATGCCTCAAGGCAACTACATCCATGCACCACAACTACTGCGTCTGCACTCTAGAGCCCAAATCGCAACTACTGAAGCCCGTGCACCTAGAGCCTATGCTCTACAATAAGAGAAGCCACCGAAATGAGAAGCCCACACACCACGAGGAGGAGCAGCCTCTGCTCAGCACAACTAAAGAAAGCCTGAAGGCAACTATGAAGACCAGGTACAACCAAAAATAAAGGTGTCTTTAAAAAAAAAGTAACTCTAACTTAAGTTGGAACTCCCTAGCAGTATTGTGACTCTAACAGTGTAGTGACCCCATGGGAACTCTGAAGTCAAAATGTGGACATCATCAGCAGAGAGAAAGAGCCCCTGTGAGAGGACCTCCAGGCCGGGAAATCAGCCCTCCACACTGAGGTCTAGAAGAGAAGGTCTAGAGGCCACTGCCTGCCTGCATCCTCTGTGGCCTCCTCACCTCCTAGACTCCTGCTTGTCTTCTATGATTAGAAGGGAAAAAAAAAAACAAAAAACAACAACAGATGAATGCCTGTCTGAAGCTTGCCTGCATGGTTGATACTCATGGATGGAACTGAAATGCAGGAGCACGTGGCCTTCCAAGTGTCCTCAGACTCCTACAGGTGTTACTTCTGCACTGGAGCAAGGGTTGCCCAAAGCCTTTTCCCCAGACCCAGACCCACACAGAGAAGAGAGCCGTTCCCGAGGGGCCAACCTGGTGCGTCCTCCAGCCCATACACCGTCAGAGGCCGGATGATTTTTATCCCTGGGGTATCCATGGGAACCAAGAGCATGGACTGCTGCTGGTGGCGTGGGGCATGTGGGTCTGTTTTTCCCATAAACACGCAGAGCTGGCAGCGAGGATCCAGGATACCTGCCAGGAAAGGAGAGAGACAGACCCCCATCATCTGACACCAGGGCCATCAGCTCTCCTTAAACACTCAGTCCTGGCCCAGAGACGCTGAAGTCAGCGAGAAGATGGGGCCCTTTAAGATGCCATGTGATCAGATGAGCCTTGCAGCCCTTTGACCAGCAGTAAGAGCAATTGGCTTCTGTCCCAGTGAGGAAGGAATCCAACATCCTAAAAACAGTTGATTTGTAAAGCACCACATCGGGTTGAAAATATAATTTGGAGAAAAGAGGCTGAAAACTGCTACTTTATCAGTGGCAGCCTCTTCTGCTTTGTTCCCAAAGGAGGTGGAAACATGCTGGCTTTGGGCACAGGCTTCACAGTCAGGCCAGCCTTGAACTCTGGGTGGTTCCCTACTTGCCAGTTGGGGGCTAGTACCTTGGGCAGTGACTCAAGTCATTTCTCCATCCTAGTTTCCTTCCCTGTAAACTGGGGATAATACCACAGACCTTCTGGGGGATGGTGGAGACTCAGTGAGGGAGGGTCCCCACAGCATGTACTGGGGGCCCTAGAGAGTTAAAGCCTAGTGAATGATAGGATTATCACCAGCCCTTCTGCTATAGCACAGCTGACCTCACTAGAGGGGAACACCATTGAAGAAGTGACCTCTGGCCTGTCTAAAGGGAGACACCCACGACAGAATGAAGAGTGGGGAGTAGAGGAGAGATTCCTGGAACTGTCACTTGCGGGGTCACCTGGAGTCCATGTAGAACCTTTGGTTCTCTCATGGTTTGTAGCCTCTTCTGGGAACAGAGACAGAATCTCCTTTGTGTTAGCTGGAAATGAGGCTAGTCCCTCTCACAGTCTGTCACACAACAGCAGGGCAGAGAAGACATCTTATCAGGGCAGACCCACATAAATGTGATTGAAAAATGAATTTCAGGCCAAATACCTGTGATCCACCACTTGTGACCATTGATGACATAGAAGCCATCTTCCTCTCGGATGGAAGACTCGATGTTGGTGGCATCGGAGGAGGCGACCTGAGTGAGAGCACATTCTGATTAGAGCTGGCAAGGGTCCCGAGGTCCCTGATGGCAGAGCCCAATGGGGCCGGGTGAGGGTCTGGCCTGATGAGGAGCGCCTGTGGGTGACCCAAGGTAGGTACCTGGGGCTCAGTCATAGCGAAACAGGAGCGAGCCTTTCCCTCTAACAATGGAATCAACCAGCGGGCCTTCTGTTCCTCAGTGCCGTATCGAACGAGAAGCTCCATGTTCCCCGTGTCTGGAGCAGAACAGTTAAAAATCTGGAACGAAGAAAAAGCATAAGAGTGACTTCCACTTCCATATTTAAAATTCAAACATCTCAGAAGCATGGACTCTTTCATATCATAGGTCCTCTGACACCGTCAGGAAAGTCCTTCCTCTCCCCAAGGAAATGCAAAGACCCACAACATTCTGAATACAGTAGCTCAGAGGCCCCTAAAACTCCACCTTAGAGCTCCTTGGGGAGAGAAAGTCGATTGGAGCTGTTGGATTGAGGCTCCACAGAAGCCAGCCAAGCTGTGCTCAGCCAGGCCCTGACTTCCTGAGAAGACGCCACCCCTCGCTCCTTTCCTGCTCTGGCTCGAGCCCCCTGCCTGCAGTGTCTTCACTCTTAAGAAGTCTGAGTTTGCATCAGAGCTCCTGAGTCCAGTGCTGCTGCAGGGAACCCCGTCAGCCCAGGAGGATGGCTGAACTCTCTGGAGGACAAGGATTTCCTACCATGCTGAGGAAGACAGTAAAGAAGGTACCTCGGGAGCGTACAGAGATGTGCCCATGACCTCACACAAATGTGCGTACTCCATGTTGGTCAGCCCTGCTCCATATTTCTTCTCGGGATCAGTCTCCAGGGGTAGAAAAAGGTTCCAAAGTCCTTCAGCCTTGGCCTTCTCCTGTCATGGCAAAAAGAAGTCAGGCATTCACACAGGGTGGGCTTCATTTTATTTTGGCCCATGAAAAATAATAAGTCCAAACCACCAGGCTGGATACAACCCTACAGATCTGTGGGAGGAGAATGGGAGGGGTCCGGGGACAGACCACTCCTAACAGGGATAGTGCAATCAGTTCACTTCCCCGTGTCTATATCCCAGATGCCCCACTAGCCCACTTCCATCACTGCTAGCATCACTACTGTCATCACAACACAGCTCAGCTAGACCTCACATCATGAACACAAGAGAGTGAAGGTCCTTTAGCAAGTCTGCAGGGAACCAGCCCAGGAGATCTGGTGGCAGTCTCAGCTGCTTTGAGGATAATATGATGATGATGATGGGTGATGAGGTACCTAAGGAGATCCCCTGTCCAGCTTGCTTCATGAGGCACAACTTTGTTCCTGGGGAAGTAACCCTAGGTTTCTGAACATAGCTCCTGACGGAAACCAGGGAGTCCGGTCTGGGGATCAGGAACCCAGGCCGTGAGTCAGACTGCCTGATTCAGACCCTGCCCAACTACACCTGTTGGGAGACCTTGGGCAAGATGGTGAGCTCCCCGTGGCAGTTTCTTCATCCCTGACAGGGGACGGCACCAACCACCCTACCAGTCACAGCTACTGAGTGAGACTAGGAATGGAGGTGAATGACTGGAAAAAGGATCCGAATGGGAAGATTATCAGGAGTTCAGATTAGAGAGAGAGGCTCAGAAATGGATGGGAATCCAGGCAGCTTAGAGAATGGCAGCAGGACAAACACTCAGCAGTCCTGTTGTTCAGTGAGTGAGTGCCAGCTGTTTTCTCTATTGAAAACACTTCACTCTTCTGGTTCCAGGTAGGGACCACCTGGCTGCCCTAGCTTGGCTCCACATGCCCAGTTCCTGCCCGGGTGTTGTTGGGTAGGTTGAGCTGGCACCTTGACTACAGCTCTGCCAGACGGGTCCAAAGGCAGGGAGGGAGGCACCCAAGTTACTGGGGTGCTACTACCCAAAGAAAGGAGAAGAGACACTAGGTAGCCAACCTATGTCCAAGACACGCATCTCACTAGATTGTTGGAAAGATTAATTAGGTAACACAGAGAACATAGAGTGTCGGACTCAGAAGCTGGGGCTGCAATAAATATTAGTGATGATGGAAAGTCTTCCTACTAGGAGGGCACCACCTGGCTGGCTCTTCCATTACATGGGGGCTGAGCTCTAGAACATATACTTCTAGAATCAGCACATATACTCGTCTCATGACTGTGTTAAGCTAATTAGCTGAGACTGCAGTGACCAAGGAGAGGAAGGACAGATTAACTGGAACAAATGAAGCAGGAAAGGAAAGGAGAATTAGGAAAAGAAGCAAGGGAGTTCTGAGAAGAGGAAGAATAAGGAAATGAATAGAATCATCTCCTTGTGGGAGGGGAAAACATAGATTTGAGCCCAGAAGATCTGGATTGAGTCCAGGTGATACTATTTCTAGTTGTATCCCTGGACAAATTTGATTTCTTATCTTTAAATTGAAGTTCATAACGCTTACCTCATAGGATTTGTGAGATGCAGTATAAATGCCAAATACTTCTCACTTATGAGTAGTAATGACACTTTGGATAAAAGCTGTGAGCCATTCTTTCACCACTCTCCCCAATATTCTTAGTTGTCCTTATGATTCCCATTCAGGTATGACCACAAGTAGAACATTCTCTAGGTTTTTCCTATACATTCACTTAAAACTAGAGGTATTCATGGCAATAATGTCTGCTTTTCCAACACTTCTGTGCACTGGACAGGTACATTTAATTAGTGAGGATTAAGTGTGCAGGTCAGCAGGTGGGGTATAGGACATTTCATAAGGTAATGGGCATGTAAAATGGTATGCACCTTACTGATGAAAAGGACTTAAAATGGACTCATTCAGGAATTCCCTGGCAGTCCACTGGTTAGGACTCAGTGCTTTCACTGGGCGGGGGTGGGGGGAGGGTGCCAGGAGGATCCCTGGTGGGGGAACTAAGATCTCGTGTGCTGTGGGGCAACAAAGCCGGCAGCCTGCAACTAGAGAAGCCGGAGCACTTTAGGGTCCGTGCACTCTAGAAGCCATGGGCCACAACTACTGAGGCTGTGTAAGAGATGAAACGAGGGAAAAAAAGTCAACGCACACCACAACTAGAGAAAGCCCATGCACCACAATGAAGACCCAGCCAGCCACAAGTAGAAAAACAAACACACCATAGAAACAGTAAGTGGACACAGAAGCATTTAACAGCATTTGATGCACCTTGCTTGCCCAGGACCCAAACCTCTTCTTATTCTGGGGTGCTCTCTCACTGCAAAAATTTCAGTGGCATCAACATGTGAGCATGGGACCTACACATGACTGGCTGAAGATTCCCACCTCAATCTTAGTGTCCTGGGGAAGTGTCCAGTGGAGACCTCCTGGCCATTGCCCTAGTGACAGCTGTGGCCACACTCCTGGCAGCCAGCATTCCCTTGGCTTCTACTGTCTCTTTCAGCTGGCTCTTCAGCCTCCCTGTCCATATTAGCAGCTAGCTGCTCATTCTGCTGCTTTGGTGACTTGGAGTGACCTACACTGAGATCGCCACAGTGTCTCTCAGCCAGGGGCAGGGCAGCCAAATTATGGTGCACCCCCAATGTGTCCCCTTGGGGGTCCATCTCCAGGCACTGA